GCACAGCCCTCGGCAGGGTACATCAAGATCGATACACTAAGCATTGCATGTGCCCGTCGCCCAATCAGGTGTCTTTGAACAGTTGCCATGTCTTACATTTCTACATTCCTTTCGGGGTTCGTGGGCCGATCATGTGTTTTACCTTCCGCCCAAAGCCGCCTGTAGGGGGACATGCCCGACCCAAAACCAGGCGTGCTGAGGGGCGGGGGTCGCCCCTGAAAGACTGCAGAGGCCCCACCCTGCGGTGAGCGCGAGCTCTCGAGCACTCCACCCCGCGCGAGGGCGCGGCGGCGGATTTTTTTCCAGGTGAGCCTTGGCATGAATGTCTTGAGCGTTGTGGGCCTGGCTCTCGTCCTGATTGGGATGAAGAACACGTCGGACGCCATACTCGAGCGGGCCGCCGCGGCAGACCTGCTGGAGCCGTTCCAGGGGTTCGTGTACGAGGAGCTGCTGGAGGTGACCAAGATCGAGAGGGTGAGTCAGCTGATCTCGGCCCTGCTGTTCCCACTGTTCAAGGTGACGTGCGCCTGGGTCGTCAAGAAGAACACGAATTGCCTGGCCGCTATCGACTTCATCGTTCAGCAGATTACCAACCAGCACCAGTTTGACAACATGGTCATGCTGAGGGATACGCTGCAGAACCGGGGCATGCTGACGAACATGGGAGCCCGATCCATTATCGCTTTATCTAGCACAAAGGATAGGGAAATGGACGGCATGGTAGAGCTCTCCAAGTTAAGATGAGTAGGACGCTGTCGTGTCGGGCTTCTGTTCGAGCACTTGTTGTGCCCATCTCGCATCAGTACGGCCAGCGGGTAGCCTTCACCAACAGACATCATGTCATCACCAATACTATCATAAGTACAACCCTTTCTTTCTATGCACTTGCTTACATCATTGCTTACATCATTGCCCTTGCAACCCATATCAACAACACCTGCTCGTTGGTGATGGTCGTCGTGCTCGTGAGCAACATCCCCACAGTATCTGGCATTCTGATCACGTGTCATCGTTGTCGGGAGCGGCGTCATTCTAGTCATCTTGAAGGACACTGCCAAACCCAGCCTCAAGATGATTACATTCATAGGTATGTGTGCCAGCAGCCACTGCAGAGAGGCGCATATTGATCACCACAACTTGAGCAGGACGTATGAACGCCAACGGCTGGGATAGGTAAATTAGGCAGCTCATGTCAGCCCAGTATAGCAAGCTTCAGCTGCGCGAAGCTAAGCCAAGCTGCGCCAAATATTCACCCTTCGCAGCTGCAGCCAGTTATCGATGTAAAGCAGAAGCTGCAGCCAAATATAAAGCTGGTGCTGAAGCTACAGCGTGTTTCCTGTCATACTTGAGCCTAATCATTATGTAAGCCATGGTCCTGCACTGTCGATGTGCAAGATATGTGGTCCCATCTATGTGGTGTAAGATTCGCTGTGCAATTTATGCGGTGCAACATCCGTGTTACAATATATTCGGTACAGTCAATGGGATATAACCAACGTGGTGACAGATGATGCCACATATGCGGCGCACATAGAATTAGTACGTAGTCAGTTGTTATTTCCGCTGCTCTCGCAAATATCCCTCCCTCCCACCCGCATCTCGTTTCGCGAGACCCATGCGGGAACGGTTGCGCATGTGTCGGGCACTGGCTGGCGCTTACCACTGGGAACCTTCCAGAGCGTCTCAGAGGCCGTACTGGCGCCCAGGCACTGCAGTGCGCGTCGGTGACTCGGGCGGGCGCGATATCATCATGACGTCGGCAAATGCGACATCGCGATGCTAAGCCAACCGTGCGAAGTTCAGCGGTGCCAGTCTAAGTTTATTGCATATTCATGCCCTTCAATCTCCCATTCTGCTTGAAGCGCCCTCCTGGGACACGTCAAGAGTTCATGCTTTCCTCAAATCGAAAAACCGTCTGCTACAGTGGCGCTGCGAAAAGCCCAATGAGCTTTAGCCGCCTTCCTACTTACCTTTTCTACCAGCTTTCGCCCGAACTGCTCGTGACCCACCCAGACTTGCCAGACGTACGGTGCGCCAAGATGCGCTGAGTTACGCCAGGCTGAGCCAGGGCAGGTCAAGCCTAGGCAGTCTCAGGTAAACACCGAAGTGGGCCACACGGAGTCGGGCCCCTGAGAGGAAACCGCGCGAGCCCTGGCCGTCAATCTTAAGCCGCGTTGACCAGAGACATCCCCGGGGGAGGAGGGGGAGGGGGTAGGAGGAAGAGAAGGATGCTGATGATGCTGATGCTGATGATGCTGATGATGATGATGATGCTGATGATGATGATGATGCTGATGATGATGCTGATGCTTAGACGGTGATGATTAGAGGATGATGATGCTGATGATGATGATGACGATGATGATGATGCTGATGATGATGATGCTGATGATGATGATGATGATGATGATGATCATAATGATGAAGAGAAGGAGGAGGAAGAGGAGGAGGAGGAGGAGGAGGAGCATCATAAGGCCAAGCTGAGATTCAGAGCAGAAAGGTCCATCGATACCGATGCTCTTCCTTCGTTTTCGTCTTTTTCGGTCCGCCTGGAGGTGCCCTCGTCACCACGGCTGCACATTTGCGTCGGGAGCCTTTTCGGCATGGACTCCAGGAGAGTCCAGGCATCGGCGACATCAGTATGTTTTGGTTTCCCAAGATACCCGCTGGCCTCGTGATCGTTTTTTGTATTCATCGTCTCGCCGATCGGCGCGGGCCCTCGCACCTCCTCCCCTCCCTCCCTCCCATGGAGTAGATCTTGGCTGTTTTTGGCGCCTGTTTCAAGCATGTGCAGTCTCCCCCATGATGGACACGCACTCTTGCAAACAGTCGCACTAGGCATAGGTCTGGCCAGCCAGACCCCCCCCCCTTCCCCCCCCTCCTTGCCGCCTAATGTCGAAACGATGATACAAAAAACGCTCACTGGCTTAGCTTCTCTGATACGCACGTTTTGAAACGTAACACGTGCCGTGTTCAAAACGTCCGTGTTCAAAACGTACGTGTTCAGTCTACGTGTTGAGCTCCGTATCAATACGCTACGTGTTGCGTGTTGCGTATCGGGGCAGTTAAGCTCACTGGTTTCCCAAGATACCCACTGGCCTTCGGTACATGAGCGCATCGCTTGGTCGTGGCAAGACCTCATGCAAGCGAGTCAAGCTGAAGCCTCCAGGTCGAGCTGAAGCCTCCAGCGCTCAGTCGTACGACCCGTTCCCGTGTCTTTGTAGGACTATGCCATCCATATTCATAATCCGTAAGGGCTTCGCCCCCTGCCGCCGGCCCCCTCTCTCGGAGAATGGGCCATGGAAGAGCTAAGTCATGAGGCCTTGGCGCTGTTGTGAAGCAGTATCGAAACTTCATGCGAAGCCGATTCGCAATCAGCAAAACCAACTGATCACAAGAAGGGTTACCACACCTGGCGATTGGTAAGACGTGTATGGTGTACGGGCTTGGTTACCACACCTTGCGATTAAAGGGCCGAGGGAGTTCTCGCAGTTTGGGTTACCACGCCTTGCGATGGATGTGCGTGAAGGGTGGCACCGAATTTCAGAAATGTGCCAAATCCCCCGTGTTTTTGGACCCTGACCCCGCGGATCTGCGTGAGGGGTGGCACCGAATTTCAGAAATGTGGCAAATCCCATGTGTTTTTGGACCCTGACCCCGCGGATCTGCGTGAGGGGTGGCACCGACTTTCAGAAATGTGGCAAATCCCCTGTGCTTTTGGACCCTGACCCCGCGGATCTGCGTGAGGGGTGGCACCGAATTTCAGAAATGTGGCAAATCCCATGTGTTTTTGGACCCTGAACCCGCGGATCTGCGTGAGGGGTGGCACCGAATTTCAGAAATGTGGCAAATCCCATGTGTTTTTGGACCCTGACCCCGCGGATCTGCGTGAGGGGTGGCACCGAATTTCAGAAATGTGGCAAATCCCATGTGTTTTTGGACCCTGACCCCGCGGATCTGCGTGAGGGGTGGCACCGAATTTCAGAAATGTGGCAAATCCCCTGTGTTTTTGGACCCTGACCCCGCGGATCTGCGTGAGGGGTGGCACCGAATTTCAGAAATGTAGCAAATCCCGTGTGTTTTTGGACCCTGACCCCGCGGATCTGCGTGAGGGGTGGCACCGAATTTCAGAAATGCAGCAAATCCCTTGTGTTTTTGGACCCTGACCCCGCGGATCTGCGTGAGGGGTGGCACCGAATTTCAGACATGTGGCAAATCTTGTGTGTTTTTGGACCCTGACCCCGCGGATCTGCGTGAGGGGTGGCACCGAATTTCAGAAATGCGGCAAATCCCTTGTGTTTTTGGACCCTGCCCCGCGGATCTGCGTGAGGGGTGTCGTTTTCGAGCCCCCCCAGCAATTCAGACAACGCGCCCAGGTGAGGCTAAAAATCATGTTTGGGCCTCCCCCCCCCTCGCGCGGTCAATCAACTAGTTACAGTAACCAGCAAGAAGTCAACTAGTTACAGTAACCAGCAAGAAGCAGAACTGTAACACTGGAAACTACAACCTACGACTGGTACAGGAAACTGCGAATCACGTGCCTCGCAGCCTGGTGGCCCCACAAGGGGGCCGGCGGATCTCGTATCGTCAGTGCTGTCGTCGTTCTCTTCAGGAATTGTGTGCTGTTTTCTGATTCTTCAGATTTGTCCATCGCCGTGCTCACCACTGCTGTCAACTTTATGAGCACGCAGGCTCGTGCAGTCACTAGGGCGCGCGAGGCCACCCCTGCTCTTTGTGTGCTTGTGACCTCGGATCCAGAGCGTGCGGAGCTCCAGCATACGAGAGGACCCGTGCACGATGAGTCGCCATGGAGGAGGAAAAGGAGGAACATGAGGGGAGGAGGAGAAGGAGGAGGAGGAGGAGCAGGAGGAGGAGGAGGAGGAGGACGGGGAACAGGAGGCGGAGGAGAAGGAGGAGGAGGAGGAGGAGGAGGAGGAGGAGGAAGAGGAAGAGGAGGGGGAGGAGGACCAGGAGGATCCGGATGAGGAGAATGAGGAGGATGATGATGATGATGATGATGATGAGGATGAAGAGGAGGAGGGAGGAGGGGAGGAGGAGGAGGAGGAGGAGGAGTAGGAGGAGTAGGAGGAGAAGAGGAGAAGGAGGAGGGAGGGGAGGAGGAGGAGGAGGAGGGAGGAGGAGCAGGAGGAGGAGGAGGAGGAGGAGGAGGAGGAGGAGGAAAAGGAGAAGGAGGAGGAGGAGGAGGAGGAGGAGGAGGAGGAGGAGGAGGAGTAGGAGGAGGAGGAGGAGGAGGAGGAGAAGAAATTCTGAGGGAAACGGGTTCTTGGGTTTCTCGCCGTCCTCGGGCTCTTGGGGCCCTTCATGGGCCCCGGGATCGGCAAAACACGTCTCAGGATGAGAAGCCTGTCCCAGGTAGAAGCCCCGGGATCCATGGCCCAGTTTCCCTCAGGGCCCACTTCTTTCATGCCATACAAGCCATGCCCAGTGCGACGGGCGCGGAGGCGGGTTCGGAAGTAGCGAGGTCCGCCAATGCGAGCAGTCTCGAAGGCCTTGCATCTTATTCGGGTCAGGATCTATCGCGCTGGGTAGGCGGACTCTCCGCCACAGGCCTCTGCCCCTTTCTTTGCAAGGGCTGGAGAGGCCAGATTGCTAGTCCCAGCTTGCAGCACAGAGCCGCAGAGGTCGGCCCGTTCGGAAGGGAAATTGGCTTAGGGTAGCAGCAGTGGTGATCTCTGTTCTCGCGTCGGGGGGCTCAAAAACAAGCAGCCCCAGAAAGGCGAATGATTTCCCCTCCTCCCAGACCCAGACATCCGACGCCGTGATCTCTTCACAACGCGACTCCCCAGAGGTCCAGACCCCTTCCCGGGGACCAGCTTCTCATTCTGAGACGTCTTGTAACAGTAACGGGGCCTGGCAGGAGCCTGCATAGGCCGAAACGTGTCACATATTTTTTTGTATTCACCCGGCATGGGTGCGAAGAGAATAGAGGGGCCGGGGAGTTGACCTTCTTGGGAGCCGTCAGAGGGGGGAGGGAGGAGGAGGAGGAGGCGGAGGCGGAGGAGGAGGAGGATACTAATAGTGAGAACAATCATCATGATCTTAATAATGGCAATAAGCATCATGATAATAATAATAATAAGAGGAACACTTATAGCACGAAACATAT